TATGTGTTATACAACAATGGTTATATATATATATATATATATATATATATATATATAAGATCTATTTATCAGCAGATTTTGCTTATAGATGTTTTAATAAGTTTTTCTTTTTTAGTAAATTCTCAGATATTACACAGAAACATATTTTAAAATTTAGTTTTAAAAAATTTAAAAAGAAAAATGTATGATTTTATTTGTAAAAGTGCTCCATAAATTTCTTCAAAATTATGTTCAACAGAAGAGTATACGATTTTTATATTGCTTTGCATGAATGTTATAATACCCAGCCGGGCACCCGGAACCAGCAATAATCCAAATTCCCGGTAAATCTAAATTTTACCGGGAACCGGCGAGTAAAAGACAAAATTTTTAACGGGTAACTGGAACGGGGCCTGTAAAAAATAAAAATTTTGACTGGTATCCGGAACCGGTCGGTAAAAGTATCATTTTTTATCCTGTTCCAACTACCCTGAAAAATTTTAATGCTCAGTCGATCTGTAGTACATATGCAAGCTTAATGATGGATTTTTGTAATAAATTAGGAAATGGCTGTCAAACATGTCTTGAAAAGAACTATAAAATGGTATATATATTGAGTTTTTAAATATTATAATAATATAAACAAATCTATCCAAATTATTATAAAAATTATTACGGTTTATATTTAGAATGAATGAATTTGACCATGTCTCATTTAATAATGATTATAAAAATAACTCGCACTTGTGAATTATTTCAGAAAAGACAGGAATTTGGAAGAAATCACTGCAGCTTGTAACAGGTAGGTCTGTTTAAGAATCTAAGTAAGATCTCTTTTTTTCATTGGTAAAAGATTTTTAACAGTGTTTTATTTCGCAGAGTTTCTGAAACTATTAAAACTACTGATTTTTCTGCACAACTTCGTGGATCTATAGTAGAGAAGTTGAATGGTTACTTTGGAAATAAAGTGAATTCCTTAAAATTTGCTATAAGATCATCAGCTACAGGTAAATTAAAATAAAGAAATTTCTTAATTTCATTCTAAGCGTTTTAGTTCCCAACAATATTTGAAGTATCGAGTTACGGTAGCACTTAATCCTCTATTAACCGACGTACTTTCAAAACATTTAGTTATGAAACACTTATTCTTCTATTTACCGACAATACCTTCAATTATCTAGTTATGGTAGCACTTAACCCTCTAGTATTTACCGATGGTATTTTCAAGTGTCTAGTTACGGTAGCACTAAATCCTCTATTTTTCCCCGGTACTTTCAAGCTTCTAGTTATGTTAGCACATAGCCCTCTATTTACCGACAATACCATCAAGCATGTAGTTATGGTATCAATTACTCCTCTATTTACCGACTTTCAAGTATCTAGTAAAAGTAGCACTTAACCCTTCTATTTAGCGACATTACTTTCAAATATCTAGTTGCTATAGCACTAAACCAGCTATTTCCAGTAATGTACACGTATCTAGTAATGGTAGCACTTAATCCTCTATTACCAACAATGCTTTCAAATATCTAGTGAGAAATTTCTTTTTAATGTTTTTAAATTTTACTTTTAGAAAAATAATTATTTTATTTACTCACCAAGCCTTACGTTTTCCTTTTTTATTTAATTGAACATTTCACATTGATTTATTTTATCACGTTGATTTATTATTTTTATTTTATGCTATATAGAATTTATTTTGCCATTTTTTTGCATTAACTTTCTTAAAAAAAACATTAATTTTTAATTTTTAGAAAAAAATTTTGTGCTATAAAATTTTTTTCTTCTTACTCTTAGATTGAATTTTTAAAATTTTATATTTCTCATTTTATTATTTCAATATTATTATTCAATATTTAATGGAAATCAATTTTCTTGAAAAATGAAAAAATTAAAAAGATATTTTTATAATTTTTCACTCCTTTATACCTTATTAGGTGAGGATACTGAACAAATGTCTGCAGCAGGGCAAATGGAAACATTTTTAGGTGTTTCAGGCATTGACGAGGTACATTTCATTCATTTTCCTTTTACTTCTTTTTTTTGCCGTATTCTCTGTTTCATTTAGGATTGCTTTATAAAAATGTAAGTTTTTTTTTTTTTTTGAATTTTTTAGATTCTGCTGGCTGTGAAAAAATGCTGGGCATCTCAATTCAGCTTCATAGCGACCGAATATAAAAGGTAGAAATTTAAATATATATATTAGAAAAAAAAATTACTAAATAGCTTCTAAATCTCTAGCTTCTTGCAGAAAACTTTCAAGTATTTAGCCATGAAGACATTGAACTTAGTGATATAATAAAGTTCCAAACATTGAGTAATTAAGCTGCCAAATAATTATATTTCTGAATAAATACACAAGATCTTTAGCGTCTTGCCTGCTTAGGAATCCAACTGAATTCGGCACAATTTATTTCGAAAATAACCTTAATTTAAATTTTATGATTGATAAAATTTAAATTTGAATTTTATTATTGGTAAGCAGAGACTCTAACATTACGAATCTCAGCTATTTCTACCTTTTAAAATTTTTAAAAACTTCAAACTATTTTTTTTTTTTTTTTACATTTTTAAATAAGGACAAATTTCACCATATAAACTATACATTTCTTATGTAATGCAAAAGCTGTACAAGAAAATGCAATATATAAATATAATAATTTTTAATATAATAATTTAAATATAATAATTTTTTTCCTAGATCAATATTATAATTACCTGTGTTTTGAACTAAAATCTTTAAAAAATTTCGAATATGCAATGAAATAACGAAAGTATTCGACAGAACAAAGTGGTATATCTGATATATACATTTAAGGGTCCAACTCCGTTTTTTTATTATTAAGTCCTAATTTGCATCCTTATAGAAAAGGGTGTGTTCTCTCGTGGAGAGAATTTTTTCCACTAGTCCTAATATTTTTCAATTTTTTTTTTGTACAAAAAGTAATAATAGTTTGATACATTTATCTCATTACTACTTAGTTTAAAATAAAAATTATGCAATTACACTTTCAATGATTCCTACTTGTATAGCCGTTGAGAAATAATTTTCTCAGTGTAGCAGCAACATTAGCGTTTTGGCATATTAAATCTAGAAGTTTAAAGTTTCAAACGGAAAATTTTTTTGAATTACCGTGACGAATCAATAATTTTAAAAAAAATATGTAGATAAAATCTATTTGTTGGCATATTATGCCTAATAGTTTCGTTTTTAGAAATTTTTTCCAAACTTAATTGTTTCGTTACTATAATTTTGTGCAAACTTTTCAAGCGACCGTACAAGTTGGCAGGTATGCACTTTGAACTGGATTGACTAGGTTCGTCATATTGGTTTCGCCATATTTAAACTACCACATTTTATTTTACCATCTTGGATTTTGAATAAATGATTATTGGCAAGCCCGTCCTTAAGATGTTAACAATTTGTTACAAATGAACCAATTATTAAGTTATTTAAAGTTATTTTTTTGAGTTATTTTCATCAAAGTTACCAATTAAAGTTATTTCTTTATTTTCTAGACGGTATGGCCAGTGTTTCAATTCACCTATGGCTGTCGTCATTCAAGAAATGGTACCATGTGACGTTGCTGGAGTATTATTTACATGTGATCCATTGACAGGAAATCCCACTCTGATGAGCATTACAGCAAATTATGGTCTCGGGGAGGTAAAAGTTATTATAGTAGAGTTATTAAGTACGCATGTTGCATGTAGAGGATGCGCATTTAATTAAACGTGTATTTTATTTAATTATTAAAGAATATACATCACTTGCGTGTGGTTATTTTTGTGAAATATCAGTTTTAAATTCAATAAAAAAATAAAATCTAACAAAGTATATTTTAAAAATATTATATGCTAATACAAGGCTATTATATCTCTCAAAAACTGAGTATTAGCATGATAAAACGTGTTGAAAGAAAGAGGAACCGAATATATATCCAATAGTTAGGGGTTAAGCATATATTGCAAAAATACAGATGGTTGACCATATAATTCGACTATACAAACTGCATGTAAACTATCTTTCTTATAGCGACAAATAATTTAGAATATTTTACGTGGAAAAACAGTTAGCACAATGTGAAAGAGCATGCTTGAAGCTCTTTAAAATCGAATTCTACAAAAATGATAGAGGCTTCCATCATTTTTGTCCATAATGACAATAATAACGATTTTGAAAATAATTTCTTCTCTTTAGCTTTCATAGGAACAATTTTGAAATAATTCTATAAGATTGTAGGGATGCCACGGGCAACTAAAAATATTAGAAGTGGTAGAGTCACAATTCTTTTTTTTTTCAATTTAATTTAATCTACTTAATTTAATTTAATATTCACTCGAAGCTTCCACCATGACTTACATCTAAAAATATTTTAAGACAAAAACTTCTTTTGCAATCACGTTCAATTGCATTCTGTTAAAAATATACTAGAAAAAGTTGTTACTTTTAACATATTTTAATAAAATTTGTTTTATTCAGTTCTCTTTGCTGTTGGAATTTTTGTCCCCTAAGGCATGTCTGGGTTTGTGATATTTATATAAGAATGCTTAGAATAATAATCGTACTAAATCAGGAGAAAGGCTTAAAATTTACTCTGCTAATTTTGGCGCTAATTATTAAAGACCCGGTCAAAAATTTCAAGCAGCAGAGGAAAAAAAGACATTGTTCTCCTTTGTAGTTAAAGCATAGATTTCTAAGACTTAAGCAACTTCACCAACAATAAATAATTACCTACTTTTCGATACCTAATAATACCTCTTATATACTTTGGTTTAAATTATTCATGGTGAGTAAAATATTTTTTTGAATTTCAAAACCAGGAATTATTGAATGAGCTACAAATATTGCAACCACTAAGAAGAAGCTTGAAGCTTTTAAAAGACTAATTTTCCACGATGATCCTGCAAGGGGGGACTTTTTTTTAATAGGGAACGATTATATTGTAATATACCAAGGTTAGTTAATCAAATAATTGAACTTTTTTTTTTGCATTTTTAATGTCTTTATCCAAATATTCAAGGATATATGGATATGCATTCCAAAAATGCATCAAATTGTATGCTTGATTACGATAGATCTGCATTTCTGATTTTTATTTAAGACAACACAGAAGTTAAAGTAAGTTTGTTAAAAATAAATAAATTCTGTTCTATCTCCGATTAAAAGGAAAAAAAAATTTGGTTTCAATTACAGAAATGGATATCAATACGGGATTCAAGTTTAATATACTCTTCTGAATAATATAGTGACCTAGTGTATTTACGTGCTTATACATTAGCTAAAAAATCAAAATTGGGTTAATAATTATTGAGCTCTTGTCACAATTTCACAATATCCGTCATAAGAAAACTGCTGGAGAAGGAAATTAAAATTACCTCACCATGCAACGCACATTTTGTGACAGGTAGCTTTTTTTTAACCCATTTGAAACATATGCATGCAAAAATGACTTAAGGTAATGATTTTAATTTATTAAATTTGATATGAAACAGCTTTTTAAAAATTTTCATCTAAAAAGTGCTTTTTTTATCTCTCTTTTAGTCAGTCGTTTCAGGTACAGAAGAGCCAGATTTGATACAATTAAAAAGAGATGAGCATGATAAGCTTCAGATAAAATCTGTAACTCTTGGAGAGAAAAACAGAAAAATAGTAATGGCTGGTAAGTTTCTAAAAATCAACAAGCTTTTTTTTTAATCAATCTACCTTTTAGAAATAAAGTCAGTAAGAATAAGCTCGTTTCATACGCTGGTGCAATATATAATTTGCTGTGCTTGGAAAATTGACAATAAGACTCTACGAAAATTGACGAAAGCCAAATGGTTCACGCGCAACGAAGACATATAAAGTGATCTAAGAATTGATTGTCTTTACTAACATATAGCTGAATTTTGACTGCTTTTACAAATCCAATTGTGCTGCGCACCTAGTTAAATGATATTTTTCAATTCGGTATGAAACTAGAAGATATCTGAATGCGGCCCACAGCAACCTTCATCTGTAATGACGAATCTTTCTCCGAGTTACCGAACACTAAAAACTTCTCTTATGTGTGCAGTAGCAAAATGCCTCCCATCATCTCCATTTGCATTCAAATGATCACAATATCTGCCACTACAATGTCTGCCACTATAGTACCTGCCACTATAATGCCTGCCACTATAAAGTCTGCAAACGGCTCCCGGTGTCTGATTTCAGGATCAGGGAAAATTGTTTTGCTTTTCATTGTGTCATTTCATAGATCTGAAAGCAAACAGTAGCGTAATTTCGAAGCTCTAAATGGTGCACTATTTTGAGATTTCCTTCGTATCCTGTAATGATAAATAGAAACTGCTAAAGCGCTGATTCTAAATTTGGCAAAATCAGTTCAAAGTGTAGGAGTGGTCATAACATTACAGTTTTATTGTTGACTTTTACCAGTAAAGGTTGTGTACCTCGAAATGATAAAAAAAAGGGCGTGGCAATTCAATATCCAAATAGGATCTTCATTGTGTTATATTATTATATTAAAATTATAAAATGATTTAACCACTAAAAATTAAACCTTTAAATTGAGGTATTGAATGAATTGCTTTCTCGATATTTTCGTATTTTAATCCCTTTCCTATTTTAATATTATATGATTTTTTAGCTCGCTTTGCTTACATGCAGGCAAATTTTGATATTTGTTAGCATGCATGCAATGTGTAGAGAAGCGGCTTCAATTTTTTTCAGCTACGGTACCCTAAATGATCGATTTTCTTTTGGCAAAACCCAAACACTTAATGAATAAAGCAATTGTTATCTAGCAATAGTGAATATATAAATCTAAGGACTATTAATCATTTTAAAAGCATTTAAGGGTTTAAATTATAGCAATTATTTTGAAAATATTTTATAAATTTATAAAGTATGAAATTTTTTCGTCATATCGTTTTATCAACTACTCTTGTTCAAATTTGGGTTTTATGTCAGAAAGTTGATTTTACAGATTTAGAGCGACATCTAGTCTAGTTCATAATTTCATTTTATTGTGTGCATAAACTGAAAATGAACGAGCTGAAATCATGGGTGAAAGCCCTTATATAGCAAGACGGAAAAGAGAAAAACCTGGTACGTAAAACATTTCATTCCAGCATTTTTTTCGAAAAAAATGAAATATCTGTAACTATCAAGATTTCTTTTATAATTCTGGCATATATATAAAACTGCTTCTTTTCCAAGATAAAGTA